GTTCGCACATGGTGTTGGTCATTACTCTCAGGTGATAAGGATTTCTTGTAGCATTATCTAACTATAAACTGGTGAAAATATGAGCTAGTTCAGGTTGCTTGGCATAACAGTAACAAAATCGGGTGTGCAGTGATGTGGTGCGAGAAGATGACCTTCGTAGGGTGCGAATACAATCCCACGTGAGTTCAAATCAAAGATATTTCGTAACCCTGCCCTTTTCTCTTTTACACTCGACCTTTGTTACAAATACTATTTCAGAGGGAACTACCTGGGAGCTCCGATTTACGAAGTTGGAGAACCGTGCACAAAGTGTGACTGTAAGGGCTGCACATGTAACAAAGAAGATGGACTCTGCGTTGTTCCATGAAACTGGTTTCAGCAAATGTTAACTCCTTAGTAAAGTGATAATTTCCGAAGCTTCAAAACATGGGAATGCAAAAAAGTTCACTCATTCTGGTAAAACAATGTTTTGGGTGGTTTTATAGGTGAATGACCATGACCATTAATACTGACCAGTTTATCTCCGCACGCAACCACGCGCATCACATTGTGGGATTTAGTGAAACTGGACAACTTGCAGAATATTAGGTCACGTGGCTGAGAAATCACAAAGAGATGTTTTAAATGATGGTAAGATGAAGTTCACAGTTGTTCGCTGGAGGTTATCGCGTAGTGCGCACAGGAGCATGCAAAAAATGGTACTGTCGATGCTCCGACCAACCGCACTCCCCGGCATGCAACTAAATCAGTGGTGTCCGACGTCTTGAATTCCTTATCAACCGTTTTGTTTTTACTTATAATTACCCTTTAACCGTGTTGTCCGATCCGCTATAGCGCAAGAGCAAAGGCTCGAAGCCCCCGCGAAAGCTACTACGAATTCGATGGTATCCACATTTTACCGCTCATTATCAGTCCTTATCAGGTTCTACCACTTTTTTCCACTCACCTTCTTTCTCGCTCCACCCCAAAAATACATGAGCACAAACATGTTACCGCCAATGCGAATGGCGTAGCGAGAATGGTGGCGTTAGCATTCCGGCGCACGTCATCAGCTCTTACCACTTACTATCAATTTCTTTCGCTCTGTGTTAAGGTCCCCCTCCCACACACATATTTCTTTAAAGTGTATACTTCACTGTCAACGCGAATGGCGTAACGAAATTGGTGACATCAACATTTCGACGTCCGTTATCAGCTCCTATCAGTAGTTATCACTTCCCGCCACCCATCATCAGTGTTCTTGTCCAGCCCCCTACATATCCTTGAAGTTTGAGCGCTCTGCAACCAAAAGGAGTGATATGAATCCTTGCTCAGGCAGACAAACACACACAAATACACGCACAACCGCTTCGCGGAGTATCGTTCTATTAGGTTGAGCAAAAGCAAGAAAAAAGCAATCCGCTGTTTCCATTTCATTCATAAGTTTTTAACAAAATTAAATAAGTCTTCTCTGCAACCTTGCCTTCATTCCAGGCTTCATTGATTCTACGAGCAGATGCAGAAGCATTCGCTTTCGAGCTCAACTTGCACTCATGCAGCAGAGCAATCTTTTTTGCTCATATGTAAGCTCCAGAGTGAAGAATACACAAACGTTTTACACCCAAATGTGCAAGAGATTGCGATATTCCTTCGCTTTGCAAAAGTAATAAGGAGGCTCTTATCTCGAAGGAAGGTAAGGTCACAGAAGAGTGAATACGCGAGCTGGCGATGTCGTACGCAATAGCGCTGTATTTTCCAAGCTTTCGTCAAAGAATTAGAGGACAATCTACAGCTTTACATTCAGCCCTGTTAAGATTTTCATAGACTGAGGCTTCGAAATGCCTTCAAGTTCTGAACAAAACCCGAAGACAGAAGAAGAGCGAATCGATCACTCTCCCTCAATTCTGCTGACTGCATAAGGTCGTGCTTGAAGACCCTTGTAAACCTATGGAAGATATGATACGATGAGATAAGAAGGCGCGGCCTCTTGATAAGAGGTGCACTCCAGATGAAAATGGGACTTAAAGGAAGTGGTCACGATAATTTTCATGGGAACGATAAGGAAAGCTATGTATTGGAGTGGATAGGGGTCCTGCCCAATGTTAGAACACGTGAAGTTTCAGTGGCAGTGGCGCCTTATCAACGGAGTGATAAGGCGCCGAAATCCACTTCCGTTCAGCAAAAACCAAGACTTATCGATGTGGAAAGGGGTGCGATAAGAGCGTGCTAGATATGATACCGTTATCGTTATCGTCCCGTTTTCATTCTGGAGTGCACCTCTTATCAAGCAGCCGCACCTTCTTATCTCATCGTATCATATCTTCCATGGGCTTACACTCGTCCAACAATTACTGCCTCACACCTTATCGATTGATAACGCGAGGGTAGCAAATCCAGCGTGGAAGCCAGCGTGATCGCTTCCTTTAACGATAACGGTATCTTATCACGTACGCTGGCATGCAACCCTTTCCACATCGATAAGTCTTGGTTTTTGCTATCCGGAAGTGGATTTCGGCGCCTTATCACTCCGTTGATAAGGCGCCACTGCCACTGAAACTTCACGTGTTGTAACATTGGGCAGGACCATCCACTCCAGTACGTAGCATTCCCGTTGACCCCTATAGGAATTATCGTGACCACTTCCTTTAGGCATCTCCTTCTCCACTCTCATTTCTTAACACGTTGACAACAGACTGACGCGCATGCGCGTCAGAACCATATCGTTCATTTTTGTCGTGCATGCGCTCCCCATTCTACAGTTTTTTGTGTTCATTCTATAAATAATGTCGCTGCATTCGCTCCCAATTCAATATCAGAATTCTTTGTGTTCATCTCTACTAACACTACAAGCCACTCTGCAGAACTATACACCACTCGCCGCCAGACTGTGGTCTCACAGTATTCCTAATGATACCCGGGAGATTCTAAAACTTAACACATTTTCAGTTCAATTCTCTACTTTTCCTTTCACTGTCGTTTAAACATCCATATAACAAACATTGCAAAGATAGAATAACCTATAAAAAAATTTCTTGATTTCAGGATATATTGTATCTGGTGCGTAAAAAGTTAAGCATATAAGCTTTTTTTATTTCATCATTCGCAGCAAAAGAGGATGTTTTTTGCTTCTTCATAGTCATTATGCGTCCTTCTAAACAAAATTCTCCCTCTATTTACATAGATAACCTCCACAATTTCGTCCTTGCCGAAATAACATTAAATTACATTCAAATTTGTTGGCATTGGAACCGAGAAATACCCGTAAAGCATATGGGATGCGCCTCTGCAAAATCGCTCCAGTCCCCCACTAGTGCAAAATCTCCAAAACTTCGCGTATGTCGCACACCTACATGTAACTCATTCCTAACATAGGAAAAATTTCAAACCCTATTAAAAAGCGAAGGAACCCTACACCGGCGCAACGCCCGAGTTCGGCATGTCCTAAACACCACGTTTTAAGCATACATTCACCCGACATCATCGATTTCGTTTTGTTCAGGGAGGTCCCGATACGACCCTCCAGTGGAGGGTGAACATTGCTTGAGGATTCCTCAACGGCACATGTCGGATATTTTCGCCTGATCCTTTACGTTCTTGCGTGCGGATATCCACTCTCGCCACCCGCGAGCCGTCCTGTGCTCTCCCCCGCGTACATTCACTATCGGCTCTACTCTCGCACAGCAGAGAGATGTCGAGGAATCCTTCGACCGTTGCTACACCCGCCCACTGTTTCCAACACTTATTGCAATATTCCCTTGTAGACTCATACAAATTTCTCTCATCAGACGCCCCAACTTTCCATTTCAAAGAAGCAACTGGATGTTATAAACATTATTATACAACGACCGTGAAGAGATGATATAAAAGGAGAAGGCTTTAGGCGCCCACTACATCCATTCCGAGGTGCGTACGTTCGACTTTCATTCTGAATCGCATTCGGATGGCATATTTGGACTGCTACTAAAACTATAGCCTTAGCTCTCTTCGCGCCTGTCATCTCCATTATGTCTATAATCCTTCGAGAAAGCAAACTCAGGGTTCTTACCGATCATTCATCAAAAAAAATGGAGAGAGAGGAGGCATCGAGCTACAAGAACCAACAATCACGCTGAATAATATCAACCCATTTCACCTTAACTAGGATGGTGAGTGGTACACGAAAGAAGGAAGAACCATGAGAAACGGCCCAGAACCCGAGAAATGGGACCCCTTCCTTGCCCGTTGATTCGAGCATTGATGCGACTCTCATCGCTGTGCCCTCTTCAACACTACGCTCTCTCAGCTATCTAATCACTCGCCACGTATTGAACTACGGCGAGTGATCAGATGATCGGTGGGCGGAGATCGCCGGACCCGCCAGCTTTGAGGCATGATAGGTCGCCGAGGTCAAATTTTTCCATGCGAATTGCGCGTCAGTTCGCACCCTCAGGAGACCCTCAACCTGGTCAGTTCCCCTTCGCCTTCATTTCCATAATCCGCGAATGTTCTCCTTTAATAAAGCGTCCATAGTTGGCGATCGTACGTGCGCTTAGGCGAGTGGCGAGTAGGCGAGTAGGCGACGATAAAGAAGGATACGTATTGATTTTGCTCCGCCCATTGAGCGATCGCCTAATCGCCTAATCGCCTACTCGCCTACTCGCCTACAACGCTCTATGGGCGGAGCAAACCAATCAATACGTATGTAGTCTTCCCGCCTAATCGCCTACTCGCCTACTCGCCTAATCGCCTAATCTATACGTATATTTTTCATTATAGACTAATCGCCTAATCGCCTAATCGCCTAATCGCACGTACGATCGCCAACTCTCAACGCTCCATGACGTGATGGAATTTCAATCCTAAATTTGGTTTATCAAGCTCTAGATCGTACTCTTGCACATTTTCCTAGGTTTAGGTTGAACAAGCGCCGTCAATAGATGAACCTCTCGATATGGAAACGCTGCAACCTTCTGTCTTGGACATGCAAGTTCGTTCACATAAGAAGTGCAAATAAGTGAAGTTTTATTACAGCACTAAAGACATCAATGACGCTTCCGATAACCTTCTTCCGACTCCTCATTGTAGACTGGAGCGTCAGTCTGCGGTTCAGGATACAGAGTCCTAGGAGGACAAGGACAGTACGCGGCGTCCTTTCCATGATCACCGTGTTGGCCAGGAGTGCCGGGAGGACCGGGTTGACCTGGCGAGCCATCTTTCCCTGCAGGTCCTTGAGGTCCTTGTTGGCCTGGAGCACCAGCTTTTCCAGCCTTCACCATCCTGTCCCGGATGACCAGCGGGGCCTTGAGGTCCTGGCGAGCCATGTGTTCCAGGACGTCCATGCCCACGCTTACCGTTTTGGCCGGGATGCCCTGGTTGACCAGGAGCACCGGGCTCCCCAGGTTGTCCTTGATCTCCACTAGGCCCTGGTTCCCCTGGAGTTCCATCGTGTGCAGCTTCACCAACGGTGCCGGGATTTCCGTCAGGGCCGGGGCTTCCTGGATGTCCATCGGGTCCAGGTGGTCCTGGGGGACCAGCAGGACAAACGGTGCATTCTTGAGTGTATGCGTCTATGGTTGCGGAGCCGGTACCATCAACACCAGGGTTGCCGTCTTGTCCTCTATCTCCATCGGCTCCGGGCTCTCCCGGAGCTCCAGGTGGACCTGGAGGGCCTACTGGGCAAGAGTCTGGCTGCGGTCCATTAGTCGGTTTCGTGACTTCGGGTTCATTATCCACTCCACTGTCACCGTAAGCTTGACGAGCAAATCGCGCTCCTCC